CAAGATAGAAGTCTAACAAAAGTATAGAGAATGAAAAATTAGCCATAAATTCCACAGGTGTATTCTACTCAGTCTAGAATAAGTTTGGTTTTATATGACTTTTTTGTTTAATTTTTATTTTTTTGTAGAAATTAAATAAATTGGATAGATTTTCTTTGTGAGTGTGTAACATCGTGTGACAAGCTTGAAGGTAGTTTGTTTGATGATGTCATCAAAGATGTACATGCGGCTGCTATCAAAGATTTTGATTTGATAGATTTGCATGTATTTTATCACATTGTGACAAAATCGTTCGATTTCTCCTTCAAGTAGAATTAGATTTTTCTTATTGTCGAAAGAGATGGGTGCACAACTGCGCCGAAAGATATTGCAAGGAGTCTTGCCCCCTGATGAGCATCTTTGTGTCACTGGATTTAAGTATGTCAGGACTAGTACGAAGAAAGGGAAAGGCCCGTCGTCTGGATCAATAAAATGTCTCATGGCTCTGAGATTGCATCGTCTTACCAATTTAGTATTCCCATTTCAGCAACATCAGGAACTTCCGAAGGCATGCGTGCCGTTCCAGAGGCCAGATTTCGACCTCGCAGCCTCTCCTCGAATCTGAAAGCGTCACCGCCACATCTCACGTCGCAGGTTTGATCCATGCAATACTCTCTCCACTATTACAATATTTCTGTCAGGACACTGCCGCAGGAGCTTCTGATGTCTTCCGCGGCAGCTCGAGCTCGGACAATGTTTAGCAGAACATAAATTCTACGAGAGTGTTAGTCCGAATTATAACGGAGGAGCAGCTGCAAGTGCAGTCCTGTACAACCAACACTCCATGGGCATGTCACGTATTTTGCATTGTAGCAAAATACGTGAGGAGTGAGTGAGTGAGTCCAGTGAGTGAGTCCACCTGAGCGAAACATGTTCTCGCAGACTGAGATCCGCGTCACACATGTCTGCATGATCAGGCTTAGGAGTAATTAATTATATTATGCAATATTTGAACGAGGTCAACGTGATGTCCCCGCAGAACGCCACCATTTCATCGTACAAGAAATATGGTGGGCCTCCGCTGTATATAATTAGAAGAGTCAGAAACATTGATTGCCAGCAAAATCAAAACATAAATATGTCGAATTCCGGGCCTCGCTAAGCTTGATTGTGGTACTTGTCTGCGTAATGTCCGCAAGTATCCCGTGCCAATTGGGAAAGCGCCTGCTGGCAAGTCTTCCCGGCAACTTGAAGTCAAGCTTGCAGTTCACGTTCTGTTGCTGAAATAGGCGCAAGAGGAATCTTCAAATTGCTTCAATTAAACAGAAATCAGCAGAAACCTTTTGCTCTCGAAAGTAGCTCACGAGGCCGCAGGTCTCCAGGCGTTACGGTTGGACGTAGAATTGGGAGCGAGCATTATCTTCACGGTCGTCTGGGTGGAAAAGTTTGCACCAATAGAGCACAAAGCTCTCAAGTTCATGTCTATTTCTGCTGCTGCTGCCGCACCGGCATGGCCTTTTAATCCGTCATGCCGCCGAAAATACACCAGGTCCTGGTTGGGTGCGTTTGGGTCCAACGACAGCATACAACCTCAACGGAGGACCGGCTGCAAGGTCTGCCATTAATGTTAGTTGTGACGTTTCTCCAAAGTCGGAGATATGGACGGCTCGAACCACCTCTCGGCTACTTCATCTGTCCCAGAAAATGAGATCACACATGTTTCCTCATTTGACTACCGAGACATAAATAGAATAAGAAAACATTATCCATCAGGCAAGTCGACAGGTCTTCTCCCAGACGTCGTGGACGACATGGGTTCTGGAGGGAAGCTTGTTTTAGCGTCACGAGATGGAAGCTTGTATTCTCAATCATTCATTTCGTTTAGTTGAAGAAGAAATAACGAGAACTTATTTTGTCAATCTCTACACGCATGGCGTTCCCATTATGTACACTCTTAATAATAAATATACCCATAATTAACAGTGGATTAATTTACTCCAGTCCAGACTAGAAAATGCACTGGACTGAGAAGGGAAGACTATTTATAACTGTTCTGATAACTCTAAATCTCGAGGCTGGTTTGGCGTTATGGGGGCGGACTTTGAAGGGGATTGTGGTCTGATGCGATCGGCTCGCTTGCACCCATTGGGACGACCGCTCCACGTTCTACATCTGATCATTTGGAGCAGCAGCTTCACATTTCTCGCATATTCGAGCCTCAGGCTTTTTGTCCACGGACGATGCTTAGATTCTGGAGTGCTGACAGGATCTCGGAAAATCCGTCCCGGGATCCATCCCATCGTGATTTGTAGTCCACGGAATTGAATTCAACCGCACTGCATCGAACTGGTTGTCGTCGGATTGTTCTCATCCTTGACTCCAGACATGATTAACTGCAGGCCCTCCTTAAAATACTGCAAACAATATCGTGTACCTCGTCATAGATAGATAGATAGATGTGGGGTCGACATATTTTAAAGCCGACGAAGATATGGAGCGGTGCAGAGGATTATTAGGATGGCCGTACGTAACGTCAATCCACAACTCGGTCAACGAAGATTCATCGCTCTCGTAGCTCTCTGCTCTCGACTTTAGAACCTGCAGCCTTTGTTTCGAAAATCATCTGACGCCCATGAACTCTCGGTACTAGTAGATGTCCCAGAGGATGACGCATTCGTCCAGCACGACCATGACAGTCTGTAAAGTCGGGTCGGGTCGGATACCATTAGAGTGCGATCGAAGGAACTGGTTTGAGAATTTATGCCTCGGAGGAACGATTTGACAGACTTTGGAACTTTAACCCACGAGGATGAAAGTCGACACGAGCTGGATTCGGCATGATCGGGATGTGGACAAAGGACGTTTGCATATTGTTGAGAATGAATGTGATAATAAAAACTCACGAGGCTGTAGGTGGAATAGGTTTATAATGGGGCGCTCGTTTAGCTCGCAATGTCTCGATTGAATATTACTCCCTAGGCATGCACGAAAGGAACATCCTCCTCGACCGGAGTTGCTTCGAGACAAGACACTAGTCTCTTCGGGTCCTTGGGATTGTGCATGAATGATTTTTAAGAACGTGCACGATCGACGATCTCGAAAGGCTCCATCCCATCTCATCCCCTCCGGTCCAGCTCGACCGAACAGTCCTTGGCTGCGACCCGGTCTGTTCCCGCGAGCTCCACTTCCGCAGTCGAGAAATCCTCGCATGCGCTGGCAGACATGCAGTGCCCAGTCGGGTGAACCGTCTGCTCTCACTACAACGCCGATTCTATTTTAATTCTCACCAGGTTGATTGCATGGACGGCGGATGTGACATTCTCTTCTCTTTTCTGTCGTTCCATCGGGGGCTGGAGATGGATGACATGAGACGCTTCTTTTCTACAGCCTGGGGCCAATCGGGCAAAAGCTCCAGGACCGATCATTCTACGAGCTTCTCGTAGATCGCGGAGCCTGGGTCTAGTTTACCAGTAGCCGCAAATCTGAACCTGAATAAGCCGGCGAATCCGTGGGAATGTGCTCATCAGAGTGAGTCCTCATTCGCCTTCTCTGCCCGCTTGTAAAGTCGGGAGTGAAAACTGGGGAAAATACTGTGGGCAGCAAATCGAGATCGCGCCATACGAGTCAACCAGCGTGCTCGTGATTTCGGTGTCCGGACCTGCCTCTTATTTACTCACTTCCACACACGAAGCAAGTCGCTCAAGCCTCGTGCTCGTGCTCGAGCTCGTGCGCGTGTGCGTACTTGGGCTTGACTCGGGCTTAATCGATCTGCTCTGAGCAGTCATTTCAATCTGTACGAAGAGTGGAAGGCAAGAGGAGCGACGTAATCGGACGTCATTTGGGTTGATTTTTCCCGAGAGTTCGCTCTCACTCGGCGGCCACGAGCTTGGAAATTTTGGCCTCAGCTTCACGAGCTTCAGAGGCTCGATGACAAAACTGCAAAAGGATCATGAATTTTCTGAATCCAAGTCGAAGCTCATCTGGTGCTCCGTCACACTGGACTGAGCTCGGACTTGAGGACGATGGCGACGGACTCTATCCTGGCCTTCAATTTCCATCCACACCGATCTCCTTTGAGTTTGAGAAAATAGTCGAGGCTCTAGTGCCCGATCTCTCCGGGATTCTATCGTGGCCTCCGGGCCGAGCACGAAATTGTGGAGATGGAATTCGCCCAAAGTTGTGACGCGTGGGAAGTGCCATGGCCGGTCGCGCGACTCTCCGGGGACCTTGAGTCCATGAATGCTCGATCCTTGTCCTCCGGGCCCGCCATGCGAAACCGAATTCGGCCCTGACGATTCCGAAGACGAGAGGACGAGGATGCCGTCGTGAGCTATCCACGCTCGAGTCGAATGAAGTGTCGGATTCTGAGAGCGACGGCCTCCTCTGCAGCACTTTTCGGAAACCGCCATGGTCATGGGAGATGCCCAATAATGCCTGATGAGCCGGTGGGGCTCGGGCTCGGCTTAGCTCGCCCGGAAGTCAGCAGGAGGCATGACGCGAGGGAGCAGGATCAGATTCTATGGACGCTCTCGATGTTGACATCCAGCTGCAGTCGAGAATGTACGAGTCCAGATGAGATCGCTTCTGTCTGCTGCTGCAGCACTCGCAGAAAGTCAATGCTCGCGGTTGCACGAGTCGTAAGTGTCTGCGAGGGCCTCGATCCGCTTCGCTCGTTCGTTCGGGAGCACTTTCTGTCAGAGTACCAGCCAATCGAGATTATTGAGTCCAGTCTGGTCTAATTCGGTCACCAGACAGCGGTCGAATATGGAAGCTCCGAGCGAGGGCCTTGTGGGCCAGCGGCCGCCGGGCCCAGCGCCATCCCCAGCCAGCCCTGGCTAGGCTAGCTCTTCGGAGTTCAGACCGAGGCAATATGCAATCGGTGGTGTTTGCACCGTGGCAAGCTATAATCGCTCGATCAATCGATTGACGATGATGGTGATGATGAACTTTTCTCGCTCGGATCCTGAGGCTTTCTGATCCATCATTCGGCATCCTCTCGGCGCTCCCGACGAGACGAAGCTGGGCCCATCGCGTCCGGCATGGAGAAAGGTCCACGGACTCGGTTCTAGGCCGAGAGCAATAATTAATTTCCTGGGCCTGAAGAAAGTGATGCAGCCATGGCGATGGCGAATATTGGGAGCTCTCGCACACTGTTTTCGCACACTCTGCAGCCGTTACATGGATCGTTGTCGTGGTGTGACGTCTCGGACAGCTAGCAGGGCTTTGGCTGCAGCTGGGCTCGGCAGCATTGTGATGCCGGCTCAGATCGAAGCCCTCTGATTAAAGAAAGACGATCGACAGGCATGAACCTTATCGAGCCTAATTGCCCTGGCTTGGCCTCGAGTCCTCGGACTCGGCCTCCTCAAAAGACTCGACCGTGCTGTGCCTCTGGCTGCATCGTCTCTTCTGTTTCCCTCCATCCATCCGTGTCTTGCCTGACTCCGGAGTCTCGACACAAGCCCCGAGGATTGCAGCACAATGCCATCTCCCTCCGGCTTCCATTGCCACCCACACGTTCTCGGATTTCATATTTATCTCTCCCTCTGTTCTCCGATAGAGGAACAGGCGGACAACATGGCGACGCCCTTGGACCTCGGACCTTGGACAGGCTGCCGCTAATCTGGAAGCGGCGGAGCTCGGCTCCATGGAACCATGAAAGCTGGAATCTGATCCAAAGGTGCCATCTGCACGGCCCAGAGCTGAGCGCCCCACGAGTGTAGTACATGTTACCCTTTAGAGAAAACTTTTAGCGAGCTCCTTGAGCTGCTGCTGCTGGCGGCATTACATTGAGACTAGTATGAGGAATTTTGGCACCCGAAATTGCGGGACGAGTGGGCTATGTATAAGATCGGGTATCATCAGCGTCGAGCCATCGCTGTGTTTTGAAGTAGATCAAGCAAGCAGGCAGGAAGGCAGGCAGTTAGGGAGAAATGAAGGGAGGGATTAGGCAGGGAATTTGGTGCTGTTTGAGTAGGTTCTGCTGTTTGTGTGTTCTAGCTCGGTCTCGTTCTTCGAGGTCAATCCCCTTTTAAAAATGACACTTGGGATCCTCAGAAGGTTTTCGTAATTTGAGCAATGCCTGGCGCTGGAAATTTCCCAACCACAAGACATGAAATGGATTTTCCACATTTTCTGTTATGTCTGCAATGAATCAACTTCGAAATCGCCTTCGATGATTGAGCCAGATGTCCCCACACATAATGTCATGTGTCAAAATTGCTGTCCACAAAACCACTGCCTCGTTCTCTTCTGGTGTCTCTAAACCTCAGCCGAAGGTTCTCATCTACTTTCTATAAAGAACCCAAGCTCAAGGTACAACGGGACTAGTACATATAACTGACTGCATCCCTGTTGGCATACTGGTGATGTAGCATCTTCGGTCCCTGTCTTTTCTCGACTCGAAGATCGAGAGCAGAGATTGAAAGAGCGCCACAGATGAATTGCGGGCTGAACCAAACATTGCCTTGCGAGCTCCGGAAGCACCGCGTCCCTAAAATTCCCTTTCGCGCTGGATGAGGGAGCTATGGCCGTAGGCTTATGACACCTGGGTCCTTCCTGAGTTCTCTCACCTCAGAGCTAGTGCAGATAAAGGCGTATGCTTCAAAGCCTCGGGCAAAATTAAAGATGCCTACCCGATCGTCCAAGGGTCCAAGGGTAAGGGTTCAAGGGAGGGAGATAGAAATGGCCAGCCCTGCGGGACTCGGGAGGGGACATAGGCCAGCACGAAGCTCGAGGCCAGAAAGTCAAACAACAAGAAGAAGGTGAAGAATGTGCACTGGCCGGGCAAAGTGCACAGCAGTCTGCGAATCTGGTATTCTCCGAAAGCACACCCTCACCTCAGGGAGACTACTTTCGACACTCAGGACATGCCAAGCTTCCTTACTGTTGTCGTCAGCCGAACTAGAAGCGAAGCAAAGCAAAGCAAAGCAATGACGATAAAGAACTCCATCTTCTTTTTGTTCTCGTTCGTTTTGGGGATGAAGAGCTTATCTCTCATTCAGGGCTGGGCTGGGCTGGCAGTGCGCGAGCCCTCATGACGTCCGAGTGCTAGCACGCGAATTCATACGCAATGCTGTAGGTAACCTTGTAGCCACCCTGCTACAAGAAGCTCTTGCCGTGACAAAGGAAAAGAAAAGGTTGCAATGGCACGCCCAGCAGCAGCAAGTCACAAGCATCTCTTTCTTCGTCGATTGGACTTAACACCTCAAGGAATTCTTCTGACCCCTTACTTCCTTCTTCGGAGATGTGCTTTTCCTTTCGCCTCTTCCCTCCGAGTGGCGGCCTGCACAAGGGTGACTACCTTTTGTGCTGGATTCGAAACTGCCACCTTTTCTGCTCGACTTGTGGGCCTGTTCTTCTCAGGGGGAAGTGTAAGGGGGAGAGTGGGGCTTCTGCACCGAAGCACAGGCGGGTGCCTGAGCTCGGATGCTAGGGGGCCTTCGACCCCCCTCTAACCCCCACTGATGCGTCGTCATCAACATCGCGACGTCCAAGCGAACCAGATCTTCGGCGAGGGAGGCACAGTCTGTCTTGCATCGTCGCGCGACTCGAGCGAGCGTGTGTGCGGCACCGTGCTTAGGCTCGTGACCGGGCTGGAATAAGCCCGTGCCCGACCGCGGTAGGCCCATGCTGGGCTCGGACCGTCGGTCTGATCGACGGCCATGGTCGCTTTGCAGTCGGAGCTTTGGCAGGACGAGTCGCGGGCTGTTGCGTCTCGTCCACGCCGTCCGGAAGAGAACTGAGTGAGCCCAGCTCTCATGCTTCCGGTCTCAGCGTCGCGGGGGGTTGTCCCCTTCGGCCCCGGGCGGGTCGGCAGGGTCTAGGCTTAGGTTCGCCTGGAAGCCTGGATCTCGCTCTAGTCACCCGTGCCCCCTGCCCCCTATCCCCTTCCCCCCTACCCCTGCACGGCAACCTGTGCCTCTGAGAGCAAACCGGTGTGACCCACAACTTTAATTTCACTCGAATGTGGAAGGAGTTTCATTTCTCCATTCACGATTTCATCGGGAACTGAAGCATATAATAAACTCTCTCTTTCGAAGGATCGAGATTTTACAGCATTGCAAAGAGTTTTGGTTGCAGCTTTAAGAAGAAGGTTCTATTTGGACCTAGAGAGGCCTAAGAGAGAGAGAGAGTTTCAGATGACCAACCGCTCGACTGTGATTGCCTCACTGGTGGTATGTTCACACCGATATGTACGCGATAAAATACAGAGCTCGTACCCTTGCAGGGAATTCCGTATGTACTGTCAATATCGTCAGGAGAGTGCGAGGAGCTCGATTAGCGTTAGACCATCAATCACTATCATCGACGACTAGCTATATATTTCTCACTCTTCGGGATCATCAACTCTCTCCTATACAATTCTGACGTCCGAATCAGCAATGAGTAGATCCTCCAGCTGAGGATTGACCTGGAGAACCAATAGGATTTCCCATGCCACCTCAGTCACCTTACTGCCGAATGAATGCTGCTTGTGCTGTGATTCAGCTGCAAGTAGTAGCCGCCTTTGTACAGCATCAACTCCTTCATAAGCTCTTTGCTCCTTCCAAAGCTCTGTCGTTTTCAGTACTCAGTCCCCTTTGATTTATCCAATTCAGCACACCACTTTCAGTATGTGTACTGTGGCGTCATGCACACCTGACTTTATATACTTTAGCCATGACGATTTCCAAGAAGCGTATACTCATTTCAGATAACTACAGCAGCTCGGTAAATTTCGACAAACGAAATTTGCAACCTTGGTCCTTTTCCCAAGTGTTTCTGGGAGGACACTTGGGAAATTTAGTACATCAAATAATTTTAATTACGACTTATTATTTCTTTAATATATATTTTTGAGTCTCATGTATCGCTCGGTATCACAGTATTCCCTTTTGCCCGCTTGATGGAGCCATACTCATGCGAGGGATGATCGATCGACAATGGGCTTGCAAGCCCCTTCAGCTAAAAGCCTACAACGACATCCCATCCCATGCCATGCAGTGCCCGGCAGACGGTCGCTCGGTCACTATTAATGGACAAAGGAGGATTAGTGTACTACCACGTACATCAAATAATAGTAGATGTACTGTGGGGCGGGTGGCAGCGCAGTTTACTGCATTGCGGATCCCGTGAAGAGTTGAAAAGCAACTACGGCACTGCGGCTTTGTCGTCTAGCGCTTTCACGAAGTCCCCTGCTCTAGGGGGTTGTCGCAAGACATTCCGACTGGCTCGACCGGGCCCATCAGGTACAGACGCCGCCACGTCGTCGGGTGAGGACCTAACTGTAGTTAGCATGAGCTGGATTGCAGTCACGATGTGGTGCTGACTGCACAGTTACAGGGAACATTGCAAAAGCATGTCGTGATGCTCCGGGTGGAGTGGGTCAGTCCAACTGTACATGGTAGCTGGTTCGGGGTAGGCACCAGGTCTGCTCACCATGGTCCACAATTGCGCACGGTGTCGACCCTTCACTGTGTCCCACCACGTCACTCATCGTCGCCCACAAAATCATGCTACGGTAAGGTGCGACTGTAGCCTGCACTGTGCAGTAGGTGTACCGACACTGTGGTTGTTGTATTTTATCGACTGTACAGTGTTTCTGACATCGTAGAAGTTGGTCCCTCTGGAGTTTGCACACGGGCTAATCAGAAATCCTTCTTCTATACCAAGTGCATATATACGCTTTTGGTCACGATCCCTCTTGATCTAGATACTGAATATTTTACATATAAATCAGTAAGACTAAAGGGTTAGTAGATAATTTACATAGTTTGTTGTGTGCTGCACCTTGGACAACGTTGGAAGGTTTGATCTGACCTCTCAGGAAGAAGGAAGACACAATGTTGAATAAAAATTTACATCGTTGAGAGCTGGTCTGTTCACACTCAAACAAGAGAGGAAATGTAAGACTCAATGTTTCCAGGCTGAAATGTGTTATAAGAAATCATCAAAGAACAAATACTATATTATGTCGCTAGTTTTACCTAATTATTCCATATCCCTGGGTAGCACACCTACCTAGCAATTCAGATTGTCCGAGTCTAAAGCCAGGGGAAACTCCTAGAGTGTAACTTGACTTGAAACCTGTTCTTTCAAGCAAGGGTGGAAAGAGTATGGCTTTGAGTGAGAGCGCATATTCTTTAATTCAACGATGTGGTGTGAAGATTACTTACGTCTAGCATAAACATTGATTAGTGAAAATCAACAAACTCGGTGGTTATTTAGAGTACATCATTCCATATTCTTGCGTATCACAGCTAGACTTTTGGTCTATAACACCTCTAGAATGTGACCTTGCAAACGAGTGTGGAAAACATGCAATAAGGTTAAGAGTGTAGTGATCATGCTCAGAAAGGGTGGCGAAGTTCCGCATACTGCATTATCAGACGTATACTTGACAACTCTTCAAAGTTTGAAATGGCCGTTATTCAGACAGGCGAAGATGTGGATCATGTGGATACTGTATGTTTGATTATGAATTGAAGGATAATGAGCTTTCGGTGCATTTTCCAAGTTAGGAGGTAAATGTCGACAGAGTTGACCTGAAAGATGTGCGAAGTTAACAACATTACGCTTCACATCTACATTACTAGATATGCACGAACAAGAAACCCGAAAAAATAATGGTTACAGTTTCCAGGCCACCATTCCAGTTCAATATTTTCCGGATTCTTGACCCATGTGACAGTGTTCGATATGTTGTCATACTGTCTGCCACCAGGAGCGGATCAGATTACCAACCGATTCCATATCATGATATGCACATATTGCTCATAACTATTTATGAGAAGTTGCAAGAATCGAGAAAGAGGGAAGATCCATCATCGTGGAGACTGTTGTGATGTTAACATCATAACATGCAGTTGGGTTAAATTCAGTTGAATGGTACCACAACGAGAGAGGCATAACTCCTTTTTTTATATTATATGTAGTTGATTTCAGCAACACACAAGGTATATAATATACACTCCAATTTTTTAGACTACGAGCAAAACCTTGAAATAATAGTCTCCTCTATCATTTTCTTCTTATATATTCTCATGACGTATCTTCTTGTGTCAAGCATAAGGTTACTTTGAAAAATTTGCAGTTCTACGGTAAGAAGTTTGATTCTAGTTTACATTTTCTATTCTCGACACTTGGATGTCTCAATTATTATGACAAATTTGATTCAATGGGGTCCATACATTGGGACTTGAACTTTGGTTTATACTACTTTCTACAAGAATGTCTAAAAGAGGAGGTTCATAAAAAAGAACTGTTTTATACTTAGTGGGGTCAAGAAGTAAAGTAATTTTAGCTTTGATCTTATTGATGAAAAAAGCAGCAAGGGATGGCATCCAATGAAAGATTCTTTTTTTGGACCAGTACCAAATATTTTAAAAAAAATATGATTCGTGAATTCTAACCTTACATTATGATTTAGTAAATAAAGTTACATAGATAAGCTCTAAAAACTAACTCTCCTGACTTGGTATGACGAATACAAATCTCGAATCAATACATGCAACAGACATTGAATGGTATCAATAAGCTCAATGAAGCATGATATTCAGTTAGTTGATTATGAGGTGCAAGTATGCTTATTCCAGCATCAAATGTAGGAAAGATTTAATCAAATAGTAATGAACTAGTAACATGAAACTGTTTACACGGCCTGCGAGTTACCACCAAAAACTTTTTTAGATGGGGGTAAAGAGTAGTGCTTTGTGTTCTCAGGTCATGTCGCATAAAAGAAAATTATTGCCTCAAGAACTGTGACCAATAATCAATCCTTTGACACATTTAGGACTTGAGCCCACCAGCCTCCCCACCTTCCTCCTCCTACAAAGTCATCTCAAAACATGAATACATGAAATTCGAAATATATTGTATTTGAAGCTGTCACATTATTACAATAATGTCAACGGTATTGAGTATGGACAAAATGTTGTTGTCTCCGAGCATCGTTGAAATAATGACTATCGAAATTGACTTCACTGAACTACGTACAATACGTGTGTCAAGTTAATCACTTCCAAGATTTGACTCGTAAAGTTTTGGAGATTTTTCTGCAAAATATTTTTTGTCCTTGTGAAGACAAATTGATGGGCTTTCTGATGTTCATGCTGCAGCATATTGGCTTGAATGTGTCGCCATGTTTGATTTGAATCGGTATGTGAAATCTGCACTGGTGTGGTTTGGTATGGGTTGAGTGATGATGCGATCGATTAACTATCCAAAAGAAAGAATGATGTCTTTGAAATTCTCCATCATTAGTGTTCTCAAAATTTCCATCTAAATTTCACATCATTATTGTTTTCAAATTTCTCCGTGATATGTGATTGCATCTCATCCATGACTAGAAAGTTTTTACAAATGAAATTTTTTATACTATAAATTCAAATAATGAATATTTGTTGTCGGACTATATATCAGGTTTATATACACACATCGCGTAAACAAATAAAACCATATTGCTCAAGACCTACAGTAAACAAAATTGAAAACAGAGAGATAAGATTGTATTATGTAATAAATATAGATGCTTTAAAGTCTTAAGCACCTATATTCATGAAACTTGTAATCATCTTATGTCAAAAAAATAATATATCATGTGAGAGATCTCAATTGATTGTATTCTTTTGTTGAGTGCGATTCATGTTTTAATAGTTCTGATGTTAAATCAAAGGTTAAACTCTAATTTTGCATAAGATGATGAAATTTGTTAGAATCTTAATTCAAAAGCAGATCAAGTATCTCCTCAAACATTTTTGATGAAAATGCAAGAAGAAAATAGAGGTTTGATAAAAATATTACACATAGTTAGTTCTCAATTATAGGAGATTATTTAAAATCAACATGTGATTGCTCATGAAATATTTCAAAGAAATGGTTATGAAAGACATATTTTATGTTATGTAAATTGAAAGAAAAGTGAATATAGACTTAATTTTTGAATTATTACTCAAGTAACATGATTAGCTCCATGAGCAAACAATTATGTTGTATACAATGTTTGATTTTCATGATTACGCAATATTCTCAATTGAGATCAACAACAAGGCAAATAGAATCTATGAAAGGGATGACACATTTATTTTCATAATAATATTTTTTAATATAGCTAAAATTCCCAAAAATATTTTTAGAGGATTTATCAAACCTTATTTTAAAATTGAACATTTGTTGGCATGCACAAAAACAATGCAGATAAAATTAACTTCAAGATTTGGAAACATGAAATATATGTCAAAATTATGGAATTTTTATCAATTATTTTGACATCTTAAATAGAAGGTACTGACATCTTATTACCAATCTCCTTTAAATTTCAGACTGTCTTTCTTACTTTTAAATCTATCTTAGAATGTTGTCATGGGAGTACAATATATATTACAACATTTAATATCCTACACAAAAAAATATATCTATATACAGTAACATGAATATCAGTTCATGATCATTCTTAACATCATACATATCTTACGAGAAACTTTCGGAAATCAAAGTAGATATATGATTATGACATGTTAAAAAGACATCATACCAAGTAGAATATTAAGTTCAATGTGATCTTCACGATTACATTGAAAATAGCATATGCTGTAAAATACGGTTATTTATAGAGGTAGAATAGTGAGAAGTTGTAAGCGGAGTAACATGTCATCCACATACTTCTCAAGAGATACAACATACGTTCCACTCTCTGAAAGAATAAAAAATGTGTCCAAAAGGTCATGTTGGTTGAAATGGTTTCAAATTACTTCCTTTGAACTTTTGTCTAAGTCCCAGTTAGAGGCTCAAGCTCGGGCAATCGTCAAAGTTGATTGATTGATTGAGTTGGTTGATGTGGCTCGAGTGGCAAGCAGTTGTGTTATATTACCTATGAACCGAAACATTCTTGGCCGGAAGGGAGAGTGCTCAGAGGCACATCTGCCGAGGCATAAAGCTAACCTAACCTAAGGGAACATAACCTAACCTAACCTAACCTGATCTGACCTAACCAACCCCTTTAGAGCTTTCCAAAAGACACCTGCTGGTGCTCCTTTTGCAGATCATCTGCTCTAGTCTAGTCTACTCTTCTCGACAGCTCCATCGAATTGACGCTCATCGATTGTTCCTCGTCTGCTCTGATTTCACCTGCTTGAATCTCATGATCTCATCGCTCAACATTGCATTGCGTTATTCGTCAGCCAAAAGCACCACACCTCTGCACCACTGACCACGTGTTACGAAAGCCAGCCAGCCATGGTGCATGCTTCTCGGTGCTCTGAATCAGAATTAAGCGCTCCTCTGAGCCTCTAGGAGCACTGGAGAACAGCGATCCGACGTTCCCATTAGACACGCTCTTCGAGATCGGATCAAATCTGCTCGTAGACTTTCAGCTGAGTGTTGAGTGTTGAATGTTGGATGTGTGCGCAGAACGAAACGATTTAATAGCTCTATGATGGGACTGCCTGCCACTCCTCCCAAGTACAGCACCATGACGAGATGTTCCTGGCCTTTCCTTTCCGATCGCATTCGGTGTCAGAATGGAGAACATGCATGCATGCAGGGCTTCATTCAGATAAGACCATGGCCGAGGAATAGGAACGGAGGATACGTAATCCGTTTCATTTCAGGATCATCTTAGTGAGTCGTGAAGAACAGTACAGCGGCAATGCATTCATCATTTCATCTCTTCAAAGTGTTTGAGCTTACTCTCTTCCAAGTGTGAGCACGAGCCTTATTGTTGCCTTCAAATGCCAAATCCTTCGCATAATCTTCTCGAATTGTGAGCAAGCTCCTTGACAAATACAACTGTAAAATATAGATAATATGAGATGAGATGAGATTCAAAGCAGATCCCTAAGCTGTGAAAGTGAGATCAAATAAGTCAACCATATTGAAAAGGTAACAAAGATACGTGTTGAAGTTCCTCGATCTACACGCACCCGAGGGGAAATCTAGATATTATCTCCTACATACGTGCGTAATTTCTCATTAGAATTTTGATGCGATTTGTCACTGAATTCATGGAGAAGGATTCAGCTCAATACGTATCTAGTACATACACTTCGATGTAATTTGTAAGTCTGGCGTGATCTTTTTCGGCTTCTTCTTTATAATCACTCCAATTTATTTATTATGTCGTCTCGTTCCTTCCTTTCTTCCTTTGATGCACTCTGCCATCATGTTTCCTCCCACGCGTCTCCCTTCTCTCCCAATAGAATGTCGCCTCCAGAACATTCTCGCGAAGGAGCATGCACAATGATCGATCAATGCACTTTTCCACTTATTTTGCAGTTTTTTCCAGCAACTGAAAATTTGCATGGAATTGGCTACATTGGGTCAAGTGGAGCAGGTTTACTTCAGGTTTGAAATGTTAACAATATTTGATTCCACGTTATAAGTTAAGTGGATATTCCTGTAATGTTCCAAGCAGTAGCAGCAGAATAAATTGTCAATGCTTTGCTCCCAGATGAGGACTATCCCTTTTATATATATATTAACGTGCCTTACTGGAAAACGGTGTAGATGATGTCAACAAGCAAAATTGAAAAGGATTTAAAGAAGTCCAAGTCAAAAGAAGAGTTCTCGACATTCGAAGTATGTCGAGGAAATCCTCCTCATTATCACTTTTAAAGTTGAATACTTTCCCAATTGTATGTGTTTTTTCTAGAGGATGAAGTTACATCTTGGTTGTCATTCCATTGAAAAATCACTAGGTTTGTTTACTTGTTCCCCATTTTAAGCTGATTTTAACTTATGCCATCCGCCTATTAGTCGGAGAAAAAACTTATTGCCCTTTTCAGTCACGTGGAAACCCTGAAATTCTCGATACAATGTACATAAATGAGATCAAACCATCGTCAGGCTGAGGAGCGAGGACGAGTAACAACATCTGGTCATTTGTAACCACTTATCAACTGTAAGACTCTTACCGCGTTTTGAGTTTCATGGACAATTTTGCGTACTTTGTAAAAAAAGCAATATTTCAAGCACTGACAATTTAACACTTTGAATCGAATGTCACTGTTTGTTCAGAGAGCAGTTCCTGATTACTTTCAAGACATCTCCGTTGTACTCTCCCAATGATGAATGGAGGAGACTTTAAGATCTCATACATGTTAACTTTGATTCACCTCTCTTCACTTTCAACCTTCCTTTCAGAGGAAGCTTATCCCTCTAAGCTCCAAGAATTATGCAGGAACATTAAGACTAAACACTTTACGTGCCTTCTATTCTCTGATCAGTTTGAAGTCACGTACACCATTGACGATGTGTGCAAAGTGGTGTGCTCCACATTACGGAATTGCGTTCAGTACTCGGTGAGCTTGAGTAGGTGGAAATGCTCATAAATTTGATCTTTTCTTCAAATTACAAGTTACTGTTGAAGTAGATGGTCAGGTGGGCAGGATGTCATGCCTTTTAAATCGACCCAGTGTTGAACTATCCTCTTCTGCCGAATATGACTTTTAATTGGGATCATGTGCTTGATTTCAACCAGGTATTTGAATATCACTCTTCAGCAAGATGGTATTCAGTGTGGTGAGTACCTCTCACCTTAAGTACAGAGAGTATGAACACCTGACCTCATGCCTGAGCAGCATTTGTTGCCTAATTGCATTGAGAGCACTTACTCTCACATCGTTAACACTTTCAAACTTCTGATATAGGAGGAAAGCGTAGAAGATGCAAAGACTATTCGTTGCACTGCAGCCTGTACACTAGCACTCGTGTCACTGACCATCTGGCAGCTGAAGAATGTAAGAAAAGGTAAGAGAAGTGCAAAATCTGCATTGCTTCTGTCGTCAAACATCTGATCCTACGTGATGCAGTTAGAAAGAGAGAATAGAAGAGAGCAAAAACCATGCTTCTCTATTAAAAAAAACAAAGGGATAAAGTTTCGTGCAACAAATGCTGTTTTGTAGACGAGAAATTCAATAATCTATAATAAGCGGAAATAGCAGAAAACGTGAGCAAAGTAAGAACCAGACGATGAATGGACAAAATAATATAAGGTGAGAGTGAGGAAAAGAATCCGGATCTAGTCATCGACTAGTATTTTGGACACTAAACTGCAGTACAAAATCAGAGGCACGTCAGCTTCAACACAAGTGCGTGTAGACACTTTGGTTTCAAATATACTGTCGAGTTACGAGAACAAACTCCCTATTATAGTGCACGCAAAGCAGATAAGCGGTGTAGGAGATAAGCAGTGCGCACTAAGCTGTGGGTGATTATATACCGGAAGAAAAGAAGAACAGCATCACAGTGTTTAGAATGCAGATCATTACAAACGTCCAATGACCCTGTCCTTTACATTTACGATCATTGTAACTACGGCATTTGTTCCTCAAAGCTCTAAGGTACGTCGTATATTATGCAACCATATAATATGAAAATACTCTTATACTCGAGTTCCCAATCTGTGACGGGAAGTAAATTTTACAGTATCAAGATATCCTTTTTCCATTTGATACTGCTTGGAGAACCCCTTGAATCGACTATAACATATATATGAATAGGTACCTTTGCAGTTACCTATAGTGTTCATATAAATTGAAATACAGATTCAAATCAAAAACTGAATGCGAAAAATTTGAAACAACTGGCACAACAACTTCATACAAAATCATTCAATCGAACAAATCTTTACATTTTTCCTTCAAGGCGCCAATGGACAATCAACTCTACCTAAGAAATAAAATTACTTGGAACTTCAAACGATCTATACTTGCTGTTGTACAGTACCGGTAGCTCTTGATCTCCAAACCTGATTAATCTCTAATTGTTGCATTTGAGATCTGATTGCACAATCTTCAACTGTTCTTCAACTTTTGAAAGCCAACTGACCAGACCAAAGAACAATTTATAACAGACCTACTCGAGTGGTGAACCTCAAAAATCGACCTCGCCCAATCGCAGGCTAGGCCAGATGAAGGTCAGCTTCATCGTGGTTCTGTCTACTATGTCAGTTTAACAACTAGAGATAGGCCTTCTACTACAAAGAATCGCATACTGAATCAGAACTCACTTATGCCCAGCTTTGGAAACTAATTGAAAATATACCTACTGTCTATGGCAGTATTTGGAAAATATGACCTGTATGTCTTGTCAAAGCTCCTCCACTACATGCACAAGGATATCACTCCATGAAAAATGAACACATATCATAAACAGCTGCATGAATTTTCATCCAAGCATACGACCATCGATCGGAAAGTTCGTCACCGACTACCCTCTCAAAACTATCAGCAAATCAAACGTCGATGCATAGAATGTGCAAAGACGTATGGGAAATTTTATCACTTATCTAGGTTCTATCATGATACAAATGACAAGGTAAACTACATATTCGACCTTCTCATCTTCTCCTTCTACTTGGAAGATTTAAAGCCTTGTCAAAAACTTAGCAGGATGTCTTTCCAGCCTTCGGTTAAACTGTACACATTGGCTTCACCAAACGTGCTGGACACAAGAATGAAAGAAACTCACCTGCAGAGCTAAACTCTCTAGGTACTGCACAAGTTAAGTGGAGTCACCAAATGGATAGTGCAAAGTCACTCCCATATGCAAATTCGTCCACTCTTATCCGCAGTGGCCAAGGGTTTGCCCACGCCACTCCATGCACAAGCCAATACAGGATATGTGTGTCCTCCCTTCAGAACAGATTCGCCTTCGTTATTCTTTCTGCTCCAAACAACCACAGCCCCATCTGCTGAACCCACCGCTACATAGTTCTCATTTGGACTCAGGCATGACCTGCACCAATTTGTGGCCGCTCGAAAGTTGGGTGACCGATAAGTGGCTCTTATCTCTAAACTGCGTACATCAAAAATGTTGATGGCATTGTCTCGTCCACTCGTGAGTACGGTATGACCAGTTCGTGAAAGAGACACTGATGTAATGCCAAGACCATGCGCAGCAACTTCGTTTGCTAGCTTTCCTGACCTGATATCCCAGAAACGCAAATTTCCATCCATATGACCAGAACAAATCAGCGCCCCATCAGATGTGACACAAACTGAGTTGCAGTTGCTGTAGCAGACTATAGTGTTCACTCCGTAGCCAGTGCCCAGATCCCAAAGCTTGATTGTCCGGTCATATGAAGCACTCACTGCCCTCTTGTTGCCACTTGGACTCAGGTCGATAGCAACTACCTTCTCAGAATGACCAGTGAGAGTATGCCTTATTCGGCCTGATTGAGCATCCCACAGGTAGATTTTGTGGTCACTACAAGCTGCCAGCACCTGCTTGTTGTCGGAAGAAACAGTCAAATCAAGTATAGTCCCTGTAGCGCCACGAAGTGTGTTCAGGTTAGTGCCACCCTGCGAATCCCACTGTCGGACGACGGAATCATTACCCCCGGTTAAGAGGACTCCGCTACCATGCTCAAAAGCTATAGCACCGCCTCCTCCTTCATGTGCTTGTATTGTGTGTCGAACGTGTGTCGGAATGCCTGAACCGACATAAAATTCAGCCCCTGCTTCGCTATGCCTTACGATTCCATCTACTTGTTGTCTTGCCAGCTCCTCGAGTCTGCTGGACTTGAGCCTCTCCATCATGTCCTCATACATTGCGTTGGCCTGAATTCACCCAAATATGAGTTTATTGATGAGGCATAAAGAAGCCTGCACGAGTGACAAAGTCATCTTGGGACAAAGGCCGAGAAGAAGATATCCCGCTATATTTTTGTTACAGATACTTCGCTACAAGGGGTTTTGTAGCGAAGTTTCAATGCACAACAGGAAACCCTTGCAAAAGGTGAAAGCCAGGTGCAAGCCAGGATATGAGTTGTCTTTTGATAAGGGGCAAAAAGTTTATCGTCAGTAAGCCTGAAAGGAAAGTGGTGGTATACCTCATTCAGACGTTCAGCGTCTTGCATCTTTTGCTCCATCCATCGATCCACAAGCATTTTGTTATCCAATTCTGCTTTGGAAAGTTTTGACTCCAACTCTAAGATCTGCAGTTTTAGTTCAGTCCTTTCAAAGTTTAAAGTATTTATAGCTTCCTTTTGGACATCGTCCTCCTTTTCCAACTCTGTAAGTTTTGTCCTGCCAAAGATTCCTTATGTTGTGAGTTTTCAGGAAATCCATACTAAGAAGATTACATATAAATATCTAAAGTCAACATCCATATAGTTGATATTGTAGTTTGTCACATAGACACGCTGCTATCTACGTCAGTAGTCAGTCCAAGTAATAAATGAATATACTGTATAGACACCGTGTCCACACTAAAACAACTGACCACGTAATGTTTGAGTAGAGTTCATTACCTTGCCGCTGAGAGTTCGGACCGGAGCTCAGTGATTAGAGAGTCCTTGTCTGCAAGTTGTGAGAGCAACGTTTGGTTTGCAGATTTTTCTGCCAGCAGTTGTCCTGTTGTTTCCGTATGCGTACGATATATTTGATTCAATTCTTGCTGCAATAGCTCCACTTTGACTATAAGCTCAGCCCCCTGAAAGATTAAAAAATCTCTTATGTGTTAAAAGATAAAGCCGAAAAAAGACACTCCCTCTTTCAATCCATGACAGATTTACTGCACCCATTCAAGCTGAAGACTGATTCTCCTAAAGTTGGGCAAATTAATCCAGATTTCCCGTCTGTGCGTCTCTAATCTATGAACACTCTCAATAATTTTACATTTTGGAATTTTCCGTAATCGAATCTGAATCTACAATCAGGAACAAAGGCGGAAAAATAAGTCTACTTAGCGTACATTACTTACTACAAAAAAGACAACTTTGAGCCAGTGCATTAGAAATCAGTATTGTGCAACCCTTCAACAACAACCATGTGGTACGACTTTGTATCAGGATGAGCCATCATTGGTCATCGTTGCCTTTTTCTGGCAGATGTTGAAGCACGATAAACGTAGAACTATAATCTTAAATTGAGTGTTTCTAAACTGAAACATAAATACTAAATGTCAGTTGTAGAACTCAATAGACCTTACATACATACCAGGTGATCGCACTCTGGAAGTAACAGAGACAATCATTACTAATGAGAAAACAGCACTCACAGTCATCTTCTTCAGAAGCATCACATTTCGTTGCGTATCACGCATAGAAAGCGTCAACCAAATTTTTGACCACCACAACTGAATATCTTGCTGAAGGAAGATACACTTGAAACTCACGACGAATTTGAATAGAACAATGATTCAAGGCAATGAACGATTAGAGTGGACATAATTTCAAACAGAGAATATCGGTTTGCTTAATAATACTATCTTCAAACATCTGAACGAACAAATTCTAGGACATACTCTGTACAGAGTATGAGGATCAGAAGCTCTGACTTGACCTACGTTAAGCATAGCATGCTCTGATCGTTCGATGGTAAACATTCCACTGTGGATTTCATGCGCGATCAGCAACATGCACAGCGGTCTTTTGCGCAATTAAAGCAAAGTTGGCATCGAATAAATTGGTCTCTTCTGGGATTCACCAGTGTAAACAGGCAAATGCCTAGCCTGATCCAGCTAAAACAAATGTTGGAGCAAAATGGGACGAATCACAAACCGACATTCATGAAGACCGATAGAAGGTGGTCGATTCAAATAGTAGACGGTACCTGATATCGGACGGCTGTAGCGAGAGCAGCAATGGCAGGACCATGAGCACCTTCTTCGTCCCTATGTCGCTTACGAAGAGCTCTACACGCCTGAAGAACTGCGATTTTCATTCTCTCCTCCATCATAGAGACTTGCCACGGATCTCTCCCAGCAGAATTCTCGTATCAAACGAGATAAACCAATCGCACAATCATCAAGACCTGGCGCCAAACCAAACCAAATCTCGACGACGACAACAAAAGAAATCTCCCGTTCAATCTCAGGTGACACGCCGCCCTCATCCACTCACGATTGTGCTCGAAACTCCACAAATCTCCAAAAAGACGAGTCAGAGTGCCCTCCCTTGCAGTGCAATTCACGAAACCAAGAACAAACAGTAAAAACATCCGGTGCCATTTCGAAGGGGAACTACTGTTGTCCTTCCGGGCCTCCTCCTCTAGTACATTGTTCTTCTACTCTTCTTCTGCCTCCTTTCCAAAATTGACTTCTGCAATGTGTCGCGCTGCTGCTGCTGCTCAGACACGGGCTCTGGCTCAGATTCTCTTGTTTCTGGCAGCGTCGTAAATTCCAGCAGACTGGGGACTTGTGCCCTCGCTTCTCCGGGCATGGCATGTCTGTGCTTCGAGTTTCCCTCTGTAACCGTTAACTCTCCCTCCCTCCCTCCTCCTCCTCCTCCTCCTCCTCACCGCCTGTCTTTCTCGTTTCTTTCCTTCTATTTTCTTAATATAGGCAACACATGATCATTATGTCCTGGTGCAACCTGAACAAGTTTTGCTCGGGGTTCCATAAGAATATATCATAATCTCTCGTGTGTGTTATGACGATTGAGTCAGCACCGAATGAGATGAATCTTGTATTTAGGTAACCTCTGTTCGTACCTGGTTTTTGGGACCTGCGTAATATTGTTCGATGCTCGGCCCGCGCTCAGTGTGAACGCAATGAATCTTGTGAGCACAGTGCCTCCATATAGATACCTTCTATTTCAAGATTCAACAAATTAATACTCTTAACGTTGTTAAAATTCTTTTAGTTGTTTTTACTATATGCTTGTGTTAGAGCACAGTACTGAGTAACCAAGTTTCGTTGGTTCGAATCCACTTCTGAACCAATATGCAGGCCTCTCTAAATAAGGCAAATAAGGAACTCGAGAGTCCGATTGCCTTCTTTCGTTTTGAGAAAGTTCTCTATTTCCAAAAAAAAGTCTTTGTTATCTAGTGTCTTTACTAGAGAAACTAACGGAGTCACTCATCTAAAACTTTGCCGTGATCGTTTGTGACAATATCTTTGTTGATCTATGTGGCTTTACTAGAGAAACTAAAGGAAAGACTCAAGTAAAACTTTGAGGTGATCATTTGTGACAGTTTCTTTGTTGATATAGGTGGCTTTACTAGAGAAACCAACGGAGTTACTCAACTAAAACTTTGAGGTGACACTTGATGAGTTCAACCAGTCAAGTTGTAATATTTTGTTTCTTGCTTACCTTAGTAACTTGTAACTTTGAAAACTTGTAGCTTTGAAGTTAATGAATTAATTCTAGAATATCAAGATAGTCTCAAATTTTCTTGGGAACAAAATGACATACATAAAAGAATGAAAGAACACAAAAAGCTTTTGGTTTTTGTGAGCGGAGAACATTACGAAGTCTTTGTTCTCGGTTTACAAAATCTGTTGACTGAACAGTTTACTAAGAATATATTTTATCAACGCATGGAGTTTTTCGGAAGATTAGTTTGACCGTTTTCGAACATTGCAACGCATTGGAAAGTGATTTCTCAGTGCTGGAATGGGAAAATGATATTCACAGGTAAAACTAAGTTGTATTACATTGCCCTCAAATTCGGCCGAAAACATGAGAGATTTCTTTCAAGTTCAGTATATTCCGTATTTTGATTTGAAAATTGTCCTTATTTTGTTGAGATATAGAACGTAAGGAATCCTCCCTATATAGAGAGGCCTGCTTATATGGAACATCAGAGAAAATGTGTTACATGCACTGTAACGTTACACTCCTCTCAACCATAATATCTCCAACTCCATCATTTCAGATGTAAATGTGTAAGACTCTTTTCTCTATCTGAATCACTATAATTCAAGTTTAGTGAAGATTTGTAGATCTTCCTCTTAAGTTTGTGCTAATTTGAATGGAGTTTTGTCTCTAGGTTTAAGGAGGTGGAAATGATAACTTTATTAATAGAATCTTGAGCCTGATCCATTAGATATAAAAGATGAAAAAATTGAGAGCTTTCGATTCGTAGATGATTGTTAAAAGAAATGAGTGAAGACCTTAATTCAGTCTCTTAATTTCAAATTTTATAGAAAAACAAAGTGCGCTCGATAATTGATACAGTAATACATACATGCACATACACATGCAGAGTTTTTCACATACAATGGATGTGAAATAACTCTGAATAACAAAATCAGTGTTGGTTATTTCTGCAAGTAGAAGGTGGTTTCAAACCTTCTTCGTATGTCAACAACTCAAAGATCTTGATTTGAAGGAAATAGAGGTCAACATAGGAAATATATAGACGCTTTTGGATCGTATTTAAGTTCTTGTGGAGCAACTTTGTATCTGTGATGATAAAATGGATGGTGAAGATTCTGTGTTATGACTACAATGACATAAACCTTTCATCATATGTTCCACATGTATGTATCCACTTTTAACATGGTAGACGATACCCAAGTCACACAATTTGGTTGTTTTCTCCAACTCACTCAAGCTGGGTAACAATATTCGGTTAAAACAAGATCGTTTTATTGTCAACTATCAAATCCATGAATAGTGGGAAAATGTATTACTTTGTTCACAAATGAGAGGGGTTAATTCCAAGAGGCAATCCGAAGGAAGATTATGGTAGAAAGATAAAGATAATGATGCAAGAGGTAATTCATTGTAGTATGACAGATCGGAGAAAATATGATCCAAAGATCATGTGGTGGATTTAAACAACATTAATGTGTCAATTCTGTCACAAACAAGAACATTAGCAAGCTCCAGAATACAAAAGAGAGATGAAAGCATGAAAGTATCCAGGAATTTACGACAGTTAAACGGACATTGTATTTGCAGGGTGGAGCTCAGAAAGATTCCGGTCCAGGTCAGGATTATACATTTGACCCTCCTCCAGCACAATGCTCTCGAAGTAACTAAAAACATCTAACAAAACCTTTCTGAGTGTCACAACATGACTTATTTCATCGTACACACTGAGTTTTCAGGACTTTAGTGAAAAATGTCATTTAACCTCGATATCCTCGCTAGGCACGGGCAAGGGTAGATGAATGCAATGTTAACTCTTTCTTTTACGGAACTCTCAAAATACTTTTAGACAGTTTTTCAGAGAGCGCACGTTTCCTTGCAAATATTGTTTGCGTGTAGAGATCCGGCCGGTAGTCAGACACTAACACTTCAAATTCAAGGCTCGGTACTACTATCAGATTGAAAGCCTCAGGTCTCCAGTAGTGACATGCTTGATGATGTTAGATCCCTGGGGTATAAGGGGGCATCGGCTCTGAAGTAATGATCACCGTAGTAGGCTCCTCAGCAAGAGTTCTCAGTTTCATTTACCAGCTGTACGTTACAGATTCCATTATCCTCAAGGTTTTATCACCGCGACATGAGACCCGTTAATTACAACACTCCAAAAGCTTTGGATGTTTGTTTTTCCTCCGCTCCAAGGTACTATAGTATATTCGCGTCTTATGTACAGGATACGTAACTTCTAAATGCAAAGAGGTGAACTCTTACTGATTGCCAAGGACTTGAACCAGAAACTGTACTGATTGCATTGCACGCTTACTGAGGTTTTTTCTTCTGTCAGATGGATTCGATAGTTAAGACAGAAAGCCAGCATTGAATAAAAGACAAATTTTATTTATCCATAGAATGAAGAGTGTCCTAAGAGCTTCGTATTAGAGAGCGAGAGAAGATTATGTACCCGGAGATCTGATTCCACGTCAGGCACAGAGCAGGAAAAGGGATACGGGTGACCTGCAGGCATATCTAAGAATCACCTAACAATATCAAGCACAATCAAGTTAGCGCAAGTTAAAACAGTTTTGGCCTTCATTAACAAACAGTATCTAAGAATTGGGTCCTTGTGTGGTGTAGGAAACCATCGAATGCATGAAGATACCGACACGGGGAGTCCAGCACTTTGGTGCAGTGTTCCACGAACAACACTCTAGACTCGTGTACGGAACCTAAGATTATGCCAAAACTGTTCTCAAGCTCCAATACAAACTTGAATTTCTTCAAAGGTTGCCTGATTATGGATAAGAGAGCAAAAGTATCCTTAAGTTTTGAAGCATTATAAGCAAAGTGCAAAAAGCACATTTTATTTCAGGTGCATTAGAAAATCTTTATAACATCTTGACCAAAATAGCTGTTCAGGCAAATCTGGCTGTTGGATGCTTCGAAGTGTTTTCTTCAAAATCGATACACATTTGTTGCTCTTGGAAAGAAGGTCCTCACCAGGACAAGATTGGACACAAAATTAAAGTCTTTAAAAAAACACTGCAATTCGATGAAAATAACGATCGAAGAAGCGAATGCAACATCCGTACAAATGCCCGAATATACTTTCATTCCGTTATTTTGAAAGACGTTGAGATAGTTGAACCGAAGTCAAATGCTTGGCACCTACCCTTACTAGATAATGTACCTTCAGCAAAAGAGCAATTTTATGATGCTTTGAAGAACCTGCCAACAGAACACCTTTTGAAGATTACGCAGCATCAACGGTATCTTCCGGTGGTCAAGAGATATCAGATCCTTGCTCGTAGAATCACCTCTAGACTGATCCACAGGTCTCCTCGCCAAACTGCCACAAAAGGAGCAGGATAAAGTATTGCTCTCTTGAGTACAGCATTAGAAGTGCTTATTAAGGCCTCGAGGATAGAGTTTATAGCTGAAAGTTGGCTGAGAGAAAGTGCTCATTGAGAGCATACAAATGACTTCAAATCTATCCAAAGGACAAATATTTGCAGATATAGAATCTAGGCGTTGTAGTGTATTAGTGAATGCAATCAACGCATTCTTAGGATGAGCATCTGATATACCGAGTTCGATGACCATCAGGTGAACGGAGGAGCATATAATATACAACGACACCCGTATTTCTTGGAAGCTTTTCAAATCCTTCAGTCTAATACACTTTCGACTCACTGACATAAACATAAACCTGATAGGCTTGGATTTTGTGACAGAAGAGATGCCTGAACTACGGCAGTTCTGAGACATTCACTATCATCCTTACATGTTCATACCCACTTCTGGCTAACTGGCCAGGTCCAACGCATATACTATGGATTCCGATGGAAATGCTATTGCACACCAGTCTCGTGTTTCTTGCTATTCCATGTCTGCTCATACCTCCCAACTTCTGCTGTACAAAATCGTATCCTAAAACATGAAGGTGGCCTCGAATCACTGTTGAGTCAAACACCTGTTCTTTCAAAAAATGAATCACTAATTGCAAAATCTGGAAAGGAGATCGCTAAACACCATTGACTTTCTTTCGTCAACAAAGAATTGACAGATAATGAACCTGCTTTCATCACGGTCTCTCAAGATGGCTGACATTGTCAAAGCCAGTTACGAGGGTCCCTGTATTCCATCCTGCGAATCAAATGGAAAGTTTCAGGCCAACGTTCAAACGGAAAGTCTTACAGCGTGACGTTCAAAGACTTTACATTACATTAGAATTATAAAGCATCATATTTAATCCACACCATATCTTACCTGAAAAAAAAATCGACGACTTCTAAAAGTAGCTCCTGCTCAGACCTCGTTTTTTTCATTGAAATCCCCAAACTTCCACCATTGAAACTTCGAAATTATCTGAGCTGAGATATTAAAAATGTAAAGAGATTAGTAATTAAAACCTCTCAAAACGTTTCACGAAGGATCATCTAAGTTGACTACATTAGGATAGTCTTACCTAGCCAAACAGGGGCTGCCAAACGTGACGCATGGTCCACTGCAGCCTGTCAGAAGGTCAGAATCCAGCATTACGCTGTAATGATCTCTGCACATCGCATATACCCAGCTTGATTAGAGAAACTTCACCAACCTTGAAATATCGATGCAAAAGAAATCAGCTACGTCAAAAGGCTGAAAATTTCTTCGAAGCGAGAGCATACCCTCCTCCAATTGCAAGGTAATCCTGATTTGATTGCATGAACATGTTATTCGCATGGGTCCACTTGTAAGCCTTCATGCCCGGACTAATCTGTTCCAACACCCGCAGCCAACAAATTCAACAACAAAAAAAACAATTGCTTATATTGTGGTATCCACGTCGTTTATGAACCACTCATGAAGATTCGCAAGTTCTATAAAACATCTACAGGTTTACTAAAAGCTTCACTGTTACCTGAAACACAAAGCATTCTCCTGTTCCGTACATGCGAGCAGTTACTTTCCATTCTTCGGAGGCGTAACACCCGAACACCTACACCCAACGCTCACAGTCAGCCTTGAAGAGAAAGTTACCTTCATAAGTACAAGTGACGAAGAGCGGCTACACTGTAAAACTCAGCTGCTTCGTTTAACTCACATGTTTCTGTCTGTCCCGAATAACCAGTAGAGTTGAGCCTTTCAGATGCACCTTTCTGTAGAGTGTATTCAAGCTGAAATCATGAATGGAAGATGCAGTGAGTTAACGTCGCCTTACTTGGGCAGCCATCTAAGCAGATCAGGAGCAGCTCTTCTCATATATGATTGGAAGGGCCATCTAGCCAATCTGGGCAAAAATACATGGCTGCCACGAGAAAGCTTTTACCAGTTTACATGCAGTAAGTTCAACGAAGCCCGTTTTAGTAACATGCGTTCACATTTCTAGATGATAGTTCAGAGTTTCATTTCATTTTTTCCACTACCGGAGTATGAATGTGGAAACACTCCAAAATCAAGTCAACAATAGCAGTATTTAGCGCATGGTTGAAGCGTTGTTTCTCAAGCATAGTTAGCCCCCATGACCTTTTGGGTCCTGTGAACTCCATATCAGAGTCGTTCGTTGAGGTACTTGACTAGAATATTTGAATATACATGATGAACCACAAGGACAAAGACTGATATCACAAACTTGTGAGGCACAAACGCAAGGGCTCTAACAGATACAAGGAAAAAGACAAAGCATACATGGCGAGGCATGGCAGAGCGTATGCGAAGCAAAGCAGAGCAATTAATACATGCGCTAAGCATAGCATTGTGCTAGATGAATCGACAACAAATTACAGAGTGCAGAGAGTATGAGATATAGGCGAGGAAAGGGAGCAGGAAATAGGCAGCCACATAAAATGAAACCACCAATCCACGTTATAGACGCAGAGGATAAGGTGAATACAACAGAGTTCCAGAGACAGTATGAAAGCAGTTGGGCAGTATAGTTCCTCGTTTCCGATGTAAGCGGATGAACCAGGGACCATACACGAGATCTATCTGGCATGCAAAATCTTGACTAGAATAGAATACATAGAAGAATAACATACCTAATACCATCCCTGTCTGTATTGTACAACAAAGTCCACTTGTAACTCCGGAATCTCACAGGTAAAACAGCAGCCAGCTGCAAAACATGAACTTGGACATAAGTAAATACAGTGGCTATTGCTGATGCGGAAGAAAGATCCACTAGAAGCGAAATCTAGGAGCAACCACCTAAGGCAAATGTATCAGCAATGTCGCACTGAGAGGAGACATTGAGGAGGAAAGACACGGATTTTCAATGTTTCAACGCGTTCGAAGATACTTACAGCCTTGATGTGTCTGTCCTCCAGTATTTGAGACTTGCTGTCACAAACAGGCTGCAACCTCCCGTGCAGTTGAAGAGTTTCCAAGTTGATTATGTACTGATCTTCCGTGAGAACCTGAACTGTTGGTTTATCACTATCACCACCATTTGTGTCTGCCTGGTCTAAGTGATTGATGGGTTTGTTGCGTCGTTTGAAAGAACTAGACCTCTCTGTATGACCAGGATTTTCTTTCAGATGGCCGCCGCATGCGTCCAGCGCAGCCCTAGCAGCTTCATTCATAGCCACACTTGTGTGTGCCGCGGAAGCCCAAGCATCCAGCTTGTCCTGAATGTATCGATATCTACAGATAATAATTACAGAGCGTTTAGATATGCTATAAGATGCTCTGGAAAAGTTCTTGAAAAATCTCTAAGTACTTTTGCAAAATCTCAACTCGTTGAGGTTTTTTCAAATGGAGACACGATTACAATCACATAGTTTGATAGCTGAGGAAGAGATCAGAAAGCTGTTCCACATAGGCTTAGCCCCACACGCATAACAATGATTGTAGTAATATAACAAAAGCCGCCAATGAGTTAAGGACCAACCCAGCTTCCGTGGTAACAAACTTCAGCTTTTTAAGAGGCCCACCGGCTTTCCCCTCCTTCCATACCAGCTCCCAGGTATTGTAGCCAGCTTCCTGAAAGAAGTGCAAAGGCGCACGAAACTCTTTAGGAGTTTGTCCATTTTCTCCCTTTATGGGATGTTCTTTGCTCCCAGTGTTCTGATTGTGCTCCATATGATATTTTGAATCCCCGTTTCGAGCATGAAAAGTTGTCTTGATCCATTGTATCTTCTTGACAGGGCTGTCTGGATGATCCATCAAGAGCTCAGGAACAACAAGAGGCCGGATCCCGCTGTGGACACTGTTGATGTCTTGCTCAGGCGAGTGTTTTCGTCCACCCAATATGCCTTTTAAAACCTCTGTCACGTGATGATGACTAGATGGAGGCTTTGGTGTCTCAACCACAACACCCGGACCAACATATCGCACTCCGACAAATTGAGACTTGGTAACTCGGAGACCTTGTTGACCGAAATCGATGACATCTGGAAGATCGGCCAGCTGCACCTCGAGCTACAGCAGTACAGAAATGGAGTCATATACTTAATTCCTCACTCAAAAAGCATAATTTATCCGGTTCTTTTGAGAAAGAAGGACAAAACTTGCAACCATTTTTCAGTCTCTTCGATGGCAGATGAAGCAATTCCATCGAAATGTAAAAACTAAAGATGACTGCCAACTCTAGCCAAGCCTTTTGACACGCACCAACGAAGAATTCATCACACTCGGAATAGAACTCGCTACTTAGCAGCAGCTTCACATCGACGAGTTTCCCTACAGTCCTTGGTGTCCTTTTTAAGTCCTTTCAACATTCACGTCATCTGAGAATGGAATTGCTCCAAGAACAATTGATTCATTTGCGGGACTAAGATTGAAAGAAGTGCGTTAGATAAAATCGGATAATTGACAACGACAGTCTCCTCATGATGGAGCCCAGCAGAATCATAGAAACGCAATCGTACGACTGAAAACTTGGCAACTGGAAAAATTGTCTATCGGAGAAGTGAGGCCACAACATGAAAGTAGACGAGTTATTATCTTGGAAAGCAGGTACAGGTTCAATCCACTAGAATTTGCATTAAGGAGTACAGATTAAACTCTACAATATGCGGCCTTACGCTGGACTAAATATCTTCAAAGTTCGACCACAATCGGAACGGAAGCGCAAGAAAAAGGATCTGATCTTACCAGGTCACGGTTCACCAGCACATATATGGGACTTCCTGAACCCGCCATGACCTACTCAAAAATGAGAGATACACCGCTAAGATATCATAGGTGCTAAAGAGTGTTCTGATCTACTGTAATTTGTGATGATCCTGTCCTAGATCGCCCAAAACACCAAAACCGACTGAAACTGTCTCGAAGCTTCGCTCTGCTTCCTAGTGATGACTACAGCTGCAAGCCTGACCACCAGAGGTCGACCACATTTTCAATCCTGATCTTAATCTTATAGTCCCGAAACGCCACCAGACTTTACTGTTCCAGAACTGAGTGACTTCTGGAACTCATTCAACCATCCACCAGTTCTTCATCTAAGATCCACGATCAAACCAACCCACATTGTTCTGTGAAATCCTCAGATCTTCCGAAAAGCCTCAAATCTCCGTCTCGAAGCTGCTTCAGTGACCAGAGTCCGTCAACATTGCCACTTCCGCGATCGAATCTACAGTTCAAGACCTCACAGACTCTGCCACTGTCCTCAAAAGTGTCCTTGCCAAGTCTCCCCCTCCTCCTCTTCCAGGCCTGAAACAACTTTCTCACTGCCTCACAGCAATATGATCTGTAACCTCGAAGAATCCTTTCACCTAGCACCGGCAGCAGATAGCACCTCAACAGATTCGTCCTTATGACCTCAACAACTGCAATCTCTTCGGTAGCGCCGTCGGTCTGTGCACACTCCCCTCGAATTTCCTGCTCTTTCTACCCACCTCCGTCGTTGCCTGCCTTCCTGCCTGCCTGCTGGCTGACGGAAGAAGAATGCCTTCCAGAATCGTGCGCCTCTCTCCGGCCTCACCTCAAAACTCCTCGCCCAGAATCAACCGAGCCACGGATTGGAAGTGGGAGCAGAGAGGAGAGGAGAGGCACCGACCCAGCCCGACCTCGTCACCCGTCACAGAATCTCCGAGGCCATCATCACCATCATCCTGCTCCTGCTGCTCCTGCTCCGCAGCGAGCGGACTCCCAATTCGACGTCGCCCTCCCTCCCCCTCGACCTTCTGTGGCCTTCTTCCCCCGGCAGAGAACGAGTGCAAGTCCGAAGTTCCCCCGGGGAGAGACCCGCCGAGAGTTTCTGTCTTTATATAGGCCGTGTCATGAGCGCGGCCCGCGCCCGCGTGGCGCGCCGCGGTGGGCCCCGCCCCGCGTACGCGGCTGCGGAGCTGGAGCTCGCTGCTCCTCCGAGGGCCCTCTTTTGAGCTAGTCCGCTCTGTCCCCATGTCGACCGGCCGGCCAGCCAGTCTCCCGGTCACTCCCTCTCTCTGTCCGCGTCCTCCAAATTGTGTCTGCTTCCGGCAGTGGCTGCCGAGTTCCCATTTGCTTGCCGCCAGTCGGGGCCTCGAGTTCTCGACCGACTGCGCAGCTCATCCTATCATCTCCGAGTGCTCACTTCCCCGCCCGTCAATTCTACTGATTCGAGCTTCGGCTACGGGGCAGAAGTGTGGACAACATCAGTACAGTATTGCGAGGACTCGTCTGAATCTCACCAATGTCATGTTTCGCTTTGTACTGTATGGGCGCATGTTGCTTTGGGGTGATATCTCGTTGACATGTCTGGACACTGGACTTCGCGGTGCCCGGAGAGACGCTGATTGGAGACTTTGTGCGTTTTGACTTCTGAATCACGAGTCGACACGACTAGGACGGTGGCTGTTTGTCTGCAGTTGTGGTATTTGGTGCAATCTGTACACTTGTGCTCTGCAGAACCAAGAATTTGCGTCCAGCAAATGTTGTTCTTCCTATTTCTGAGACTCTTTATGAAGCTTTAAAAGGTGCGATACTCGATGAAACAAAATTGTGCCCTTTTTTTCAACATAGCAAATACATAAGTGTTACGAAACATATTTATGCAAGTGAAAATCAGTACGTTTTGTGAAATAAACCAAGATATGATATTCAAATGTATCCAGATTGTTTGAAAAAATTAGTACAGAAATCACGAATTATTTATTTAGTCTAATGACATTATAATTATTTAGATATTAGACGTTTCTGAATGATTTTTGGAAAAAGTTACATTCTCATAATTAACGGTTACTTTGTCTTCGTAACCGCATCATGTAACTTTATTTTTCATTTTCATTGTCATCGCAAATATTAGTCACCTTGACTCCGAACCTTTTGACTTTCAGTGATGATGTAAAGTCCAGATTCATTGTAATTCCCAAAAACTTTTCACAGACATCCCATAATACAGCCGGAAGGATGAAATTATACCATCAAGAGTTTTGGATGATTTTAATGCGGTAGGTCAGGACTAGCCTAAATAACATCACAATGAGCAATATGCCAATTTGCAACTAAATTTCTGACCATCTAGATAAAACAAGCAATTTTGTATTCTGATAACCATATTTGTCGAACTAAAGATACAATTTTTTTTATAGGTTCTATTATTGATATGTTATATGTCATATTTTATTCTTAAATGATAACATATAACACCTGTTATCATTCAAACTAACTATTTTTATTTTATGGTATTAATAACTTGTTGCTTGTAATGAGCCTAATATGAAAATTTATATAAGATATTTTAACCAATCTCAAATCATTATCAATTTAGATAGAATGAGATGAATGTGGAAACTAACCAGGCCAGGTAGAGTTTGGAAAAACATATGATACATGGGATAGGACTAAAATTGGAAAAAGGTAGATTCAAAAATGGAATTTACTCTTTACAATGTACCCGGCTTTGATTATAGAAACAGCAACAATTGAGACAACGAGACTTTCGTTTATGAACTTACTTAAGATTAATGGAAGTCAATCATTTAGTTTCCTTCCCGACCATACAGGTCGGTAGACTCGGAAGTACTTGTCCATGTAAATATTTTGCAAACGAGTGACCTGATCGATCTCTCTCTCTCTTTCTCTCTCTCTCAGTCACCTCTGCGCATAATCATGTCAACCACGGACGAAGAGAGTGCGACATCCGAAGCAAAACCGCATGAAATGCCAAATATTCTAAAACTGTCACATCGAGTCTGACCCACACTCGAACACGGGTCCCACATTCTGACCCGGTCTGGAGTTTTGCTTCGACTACAGCAGCAGCGACATTGGCGAGAAAAGTCCTCTCGAACTGTTCCGATCACTTCCAGAGTTGCGCTGATGGTACATGTGGCCGAAGGACCGTTAAGTCCAGATTCCGACACTGCTCTTACACCTCAGATTCGGGAGAATCACGGGTCAGGGCATCCATCAGTCCGAAGGAGCCCTGGCATGTCATGAACGGAGCGAGGCAGACGAACCTCGCGCAAAGTGGATCATTGCTCCGATCGAAGTACAGTACCAGCTCTCGCTGTTCTGAAATTGGATTCTCTCCCGCACTGTGTCCAGTCGATTTTCTGCAATATTGACCGCCATAATCGCAATATACATAGTCAGTCGCAAGGGTAGACAACAGGAGAACAAAATGGGTGAGACGAATCGATCGAGTAGAACACGGATGAGAGTATTGGGGTAGTAAGGGGCTGCAGGACCAACATATCTGGCAGAACGTTACATGAAATATCTTGGTTAACTGTTCTACATCTTACAGTTGTTTGTATTTAAAGTGATCACCTAGCGTTTTTACTCTAATATAAATTAAATTTTACCAATCATTGTATATTTTAGCAATAGATGCGTGTGTCGTTCCTGAGCATGAATCACTAAGAAACGCATGGGCCGCCAACATTTAACATAGAGAATAAGTGGTTTACGTCACTCCATCTATTATCAGTAGCTATTACTTGAACCTTGATGTGTCACATAGAGTTTAAACCAGCATTCCCATATAATCGGCTCTTAGGTATCGGCTCGATTCTGTCCACTAGAGATAAATGTGTAGGTTTTGTGCATTCAGTAAATTGTATACCTCTGTTTAATAAATGGGCAAAACGTACAATATTGAAAGCTCTTAGTAGCTATTACTTGAACCTTGATGTGTCACATAGAGTTTAAACCAGCATTCCCATATAATCGGCTCTTAGGTATCGGCTCGATTCTGTCCACTAGAGATAAATGTGTAGGTTTTGTGCATTCAGTAAATTGTATACCTCTGTTTAATAAATGGGCAAAACGTACAATATTGAAAGCTCTTATTGTGACTCCGAGGACAATACATCTCTCACCTGTTACAATAATATATGAGAGATCGTTCTTCACATACATGTCAACTTTGATTATAATCATAATAAAAACTTGAAGGGAGAAGAAAAACAATGAGAGTTTCCGACTAAAACAATTACTGCATCTCCACCACCAATAATATTCAATTGAATAAGAAAAGAACAAATAGAGGTGTCGACTTAGCTTTTTTCGGAACCACGTGATGCCAAAAGTAGCGTTATTTCTGCAAAGACATGGAAAAAAAACTTGTGTTTAAGTAAAAAATTTCAGAATTATTAGTTAAGGTAAAACTTTTAGCTTCTCTATTCAGTCTGACCCGGCCAAAAGACAGACTGAAGTTAGACTCCTCTGATTGAGGCAATGACTTCTTACGGTCATTGAGCCAACCAGATCTGGGAATGCCTCTTATGCATAACCCGCTGTTAGGAGTTGACCAGCTCCTACCGAATCTGGGTGAGGCGCCCATAGAGCCTCTACTAGCTAAACATAAAAAATAATAATTCATCAAAACTGAAGTGCAAATGTGAGGTGTAGACTTAGCTTTCCGTGGAACGAATGCCGAGTGAACGATGTGAACTGGTCTTCGATTACATCACCTTTCTTAGATATCAATCGTCCAAATCCGAAGATCCTACACCGAGAATTCAGAAAGGCTTTCACTCGTAGCATTCATGACCTCCTGATGGTGGTGATGGGATCATGAATGAGGAATAGCGATTTCCAACCTGGAGATTCCATTTCGTTTCAGCAGCTGACGAGGATATCAATGTGCTCGAAGAAGATGAAGTCTCCTCCGGATGTACATGGCTCGCACCAGCTCTATCCCGAGCTCATTGACGACTTCGTGGTGACTCTCCATTTCTTGCATTTGGCCGGACCGATGATTGCGAGTGCGATTGGAAATCTCCACTTCAATTTTTGCGTCTTCAGAGTGTCCCCTTGATACTCTTCTGTCAAGCCGAAAACAAATGTCGATGAGCTAATTGTGATGCTAAGCAGGAAGAACCACAGTGCAAATAAGAATAGAGTGTCAAAAAGCGAGTCGCTCTGGAGATCGACTAAGGAGCCTTTGATGGTCTGGAGATTAGAAGAGGTGTTGATATTTGCACCTCGTTTGATCGGGTCTCCTGCCAGCAGCATATTGGGAGAAACAGGTTTACCTCCTCCCTTATTTCTGCTGCAATTTCCCACACTGGCGCTCCGAACAATCTCCAGTTAACTATGAATCTTATGGATCTCCAGGTCTCTGAGCACACCAATTTGCCCGCAGCTTGTTCGGGCTTTTACTTTTTCCTCAAAAGATTTGTCAACTTCGCAGTATTGCCGAATGCAGGAGTCATGTGGAATGAATGTCTGTCTTGTAAGCAAAAGGCTCTGATGTGCATGGGGAGTAAAAGAGTCAAGTTGTCCAATCCACTGAACTTATGGAGCATCTAGCAACTCAGGACTGATTATCATTTTGTCCGTTGCCAGCTCCGTTTCATCTTTTCTAACAGTCAATTCCCTTCGACTTCATTTAGCCTAAACTTCAAAACTCTGTCTTTGTGAGACAGATCAAACGGTCCATTTTCGAAACTGAGAATATCACTGAGTTTTTTTGCGGATCTTACAAAAACATTCAGAAACTTCTGAAAGTTTATTCGTCAACAACATAGTATGCATGAAGGAAGTGATGTTAAAATTTACAAGTTTAAAAGAACAATGTAGGGAGTTTCACCGGAAGTTCTTGTTAGCTCTGGCTTACACTATGGTTTCAAGTTCTAGCTTTTGTTTTGTCGGTTTTCTGGATATCTAAAATAGATTCCACCATACTTATTAATTTATTTGAACTCCTGAGCAGTACGGGAATGATGGAATGTCTCTTTTGTGAAGTGGGGTGGCAAAATTGGTTTAGTTAGAGATGCACAATTAGAGGACAATTCAAAACATGCAGTTGTGAAAGTGGACGACGAATCAGTGTCCATCAAAATTGGGTTTTGCTAGAGACAACATCAAATGCTATAAGCTCTAATCTGACAGGTAAGATTCGAATAGTCGAGGGTTTATCTTGATTCTTTTTGTAAACGTGGTTGTCATACGCCCGGAAACACTTGTCACTCCTCAAAACCTGAACCAGAGAATGCATGCTTGATGGAGTTGGTGGATCTGAGCTTCTAAGCACTATGATTCTTCTGAGCACTATGAAAGAATGTACAAGAGAGTTTCAAACGAGATGACATTAGTACCTCACAATATTTTGAATTGTCCACACTTGAGAGCTCCTAGAAAACCTTCGGTACACCTCTCATTTTAACAAGTCTATCCTGACTACTACTGAGGTCCAGTTTCATTTCGATTGTAGAGAGCCTTGACGGCCAAAGGCCTGTCTCCCAGTTTAGGCTCCATGGAAAAAAAGGGCTTTCACTCGGAGCAAGTTACTAAAAGCTCTGTCACATTCATGATCTTCCTGATGGTGGTGATGAAAAAATATATTAAAAATTCTTATAAAATATATTGGTAATCTTCAGAGGCACAACAAGAACAATCCAACCCGTGATACTGTTCATTCTACAAACGTAAACTTGGAGCTCAAGTAAGACAGCAGTATTCTTGACTAGAACTATGAGCATGGTAGTTGACCAGAAAGCATGAGTTTACTACACCACTGAGCTATGAAACGCTTACTTACAAATATGCTCGTCAAAAACCAAAGTTGGCAACTCTCTTTTGTCGTAGTAATTTTCTTAATGTGAAAAATTATCCATAAATGAAATTTAAATTTTTAATTTTTTTTAATTATGTCAATGAATGATAAGATTAAGTGATGAGTAGAGATATTGTATGATAGTTTGTTTATAACATGTGTATATAAATCGATTCCAGATTTTTAAAAACATGATGAGGTATGATATTAGTGAAAAAAAAATTGAAAGAATGAGAAAGTGAAAATATTTTTGAATTTGACATAGAAATGTCAACTTTTGATAAAAGTAAAAGCATCCAATGATATCTCCTATGATCAAATTTAAATTTAACTTGTTTCACCTATGAGTTTATTTTTAAAAGTTGGTTAAAAACCTATTACAAGATGAAGATTTGCGATAAAAAGATTTTTGATGGTACTCTAGTCTCCAGTTTAATAGTAATGTTATCAAAGATTAAAACTCAATTTTTTTATTATATATACATGTCTTTTTTTTTTAACAAATATCTAATGTATGAGACATTGAACATTAATCACATTGTATCGGCTTACAAACTTTTTCATTTGGTACAAAAAATTCCTTATAATAATTCTTTCAAAAATTTATTTGTTGAAAGATGAAATCCACAAATTGAAAAAATATAATTTCTTTTAAAATGAAATCGAGTTCAATTTTTATCTAAAATTGAATTCAATTTTTTTTAATGAATTTTTCTTTTTTATGGTAGTAAAAGAGAAAGTTAACTATGTGTATAAGTGCATTAGAAAAAAAATTATGGTTATACAAAAAAAATCACTATTTTTAGCTTTTCATACGTGAGTATTTAGAAAAAATGACAATGATATAATTCTAAAGATGTTTATAATGGTTATAATCAAGTGAAAATTAGCTCGTAAGATCAACTTAAAACTTTTATCATAATACAATGAAGAACATTTGATTTAAAAATGAGTATACCTGATCTATGTAAATATTAAGTTATTTTTCAAAATATCATGACTATTTTTTTGAATTTTTTATTTCAAATTTTTGCGCGTAATTTAGAAATCATTACTTTTGTGTATGGAAAAAATTAGGTTATAACGTTTGGCCAAACTTTTAGTCATTCAAAGATTATTATTTTTGAATAATCATTGGATGCGGCACATAAGTTGAAGTAGTGGACCCAAAAAAAATGAAACAATTCCTTTAAGCTAGAACATATCCGAATTAACTCCAGACTCATGGTGCCCTTCGTTCTCTCAGACTTGGCTCGGAACGAGTCGCCAAAATACTCTGGCCTGACAGATGTGGTCACTCCCCACTCTATAGGCAAATCAATAGGATATAAGAACATAGTTTACGGTGTCCGTCGAATGATTCCCATCGGGTAAAATGAAACCTGATGGGTTCTTTCAAGACGATAGACGTTTCCAAGGGGTCCCATCAAGTAATTTCCTTTTCTGATTAACCTTTTTTTTGGTGTTATCTTGCACTGAGATAAGATTTGTGTAGATTATGGATGAGTACACTGAAGACTAGGACAAGTTTTCGATTCCTACTCATTCCACCTCAGATCTTCCGATGGCAGAGTCACTTCCTCCTCCAACACAATCATGTCATTTGTATACACAAACGTAGGCAGTATGGCCCCACACATACTTCTTCTCACAATTCATGATTTTTGGATATTATCTAATCTCAAAACTTCCACAATGACGCTTTGTTCATCATCATACCATCAAAAACAACACCAACGTAGAGAAAATTCACTTTGTTATTCTATGTTTAAACACATTTGAAGTAGCTACTCGATTCGACAGCCGCATTCTACAAAGTTTTATTCAAAAAACTGCTACTCATGAGCCTTAATATTGAATGAAAGAAAAGCATGGCATGCTAATCGTTGTCCCCATATTTTCTAATTGGGCTACGGGCTCTACCAACTATTCCATTCCAATTGGTGCTTAGAACACGATAAGTTGTAGTTGATATATCCACTCTTGTATCGGTTTATCTACTTAACCAACCAAGGACTGCACTCTACAGTATCGGTTTATCTACTATCCACTGCACCATACTTAGCTGCCTATCTCCAATCTATACCATAAGACCAGTTTCACTGCTAGTCTAGTCAGGTTCATAGCCCGGGGCAGCGCATAGAGTTCAAGTGTTCAAGAGAATCACCAATCGTTAGAGTTGAATGGTTCGAGTTTAAAGCAATATACTTTAATTTCAAAGTATGCCGAAGGTTTGAATTCAAAGATAAACGGACATATAAGCCACAGTTTCATCATTGGTTCCCACTCCCACACTGTTCGATGTTAGGGTCCAGCAGAATTTGTAACATGACAGTAACTTCTCTCTCGTTGTCTGACCCGTAAATGACCATCAACTGGTCGTAAGTGTTTCCATTCTTCTCTCGTCCAGATTTCTGCACCCAGCGTTGTCAAGCTTGAAAGGCGATTCACAAGTGTCTACGCATGAGTTCCAGCACACAATTTTTCTTATTTGAACCTGCGTGAGAGTTTTCGCTCAGATCAACTCGCAAGTGACTATGTTGCTCCCTTCTGAGCTGTTGCAGATTGCTGATGCAGAGATGACGGTCATATACATCATCCTCTGAATTTTTTTGTTGCAATGGTACTCGAAACGGAAAAGAGTCGACCTGGAGATCCATGGGAAACTTTACCTATCGAATATCTGATCAAAGTTCTCAGAGATCATGGTCTGCCAGTTTCCACACTTGCAGCATGTCGTTCAGTCTGTAAAAAGTGGATGGAAATCGTTGATGGTCCTGATTTACGGAACAAAATCTGGAATAAACATGTCATTGTCTATATTGATCCTTGTCATGACGGCACGGCCTTCTTTTGCTGCAGTGATCAATGGATCACAAGGGATTTTACATTTGAATCCAACTGTTTTATCGCTGCTGATGGAGGCCTCCTGTGTTTTAATGAACCTTTTTCAACAGAGTATGTTCTGTATAACCCAGTTCCTGATAAATTCCTGACCCTGAACGTACCTTATGAAATCGATGCAATACCTGCGATCATTGATGGTATGTTCAAACGTACAGTGGTGGGTTTAGTTGTGGACCGATATACAAAACACTTCAAGCTGGTTTTGGGAGGAGTTCTATTCCCAGATGAGCGCAGATCCTTGATTTACGACTCGAAGACCCGCACATGGTCGTGGCTTCATCATCCGTTGCCTGCTAACTTGGAACTGGGCTGGCAAGGAGGGAGATGTGTATCATGCGGTGGATGTCTGTATTGGCTCGTATGGAATCATAGGGACCAGATGAAGGCTCTCTTGATATTTGATCTGCAAGAGGAGAAGTGGAAGGCCTTGTTAGAGAAATTCGAGAAGGACAAGCCAGGCTGCCTTCAGATTGCTGCGTATGAAGGACATGTGTGCTTACTCGTCATGGATTGGTTTCCTCTCGACGGGCTGTTCGATGGCAGGAGCTATGGTGGCGCATTTCTCCGGCATCCAATGGTCCGGGCAATGGATGGAGCTCTGATCGGGAGAACTCGAGAACTATGGGAAGGGGAAGAAGGCAAACCTTTCCTCCTTTATGCCGCAGGAGGCAGTGATGCCTTTTTCGTCTTCACTCAACAATATAATGAACGTGGCGTGGCGAAGTACTCGGCTCGATTGGGCTTGCTGTTTTTTCTTCCCGACCCTCCTTTTCGCGATGCCCATGATTTTCGTTCCCCTAGAATTCCGCAATACCTCCAGGACCCATGGTGTGCAATAATTCCAACGCCCAGAGTCAGTGCAGAGCATGAGTGGATAACACAGCCGCGGAGAGTGCCGCAAGAGGAAGTGCTGGAAGCTCCGAGAGGAGAGGCTGCGCCTGAAGGTCAAGCAGGAGGAGAGGAGGTGTCGGAAGGCTCAGGAAACGAGGAGGCAGTGGAATTCCCGGGAGAAGAATGGCAGCTTTTGGAGCTCCAAGAAAGATCAATTTCTTAATCAGAATTATATAATTGTCTGAAAAAATCGATAGCCAGGATTGTTCGAATCTTGAGGAAACTGGAGGCTTTGAAAATATTTTCCTCTGCTTGCGTTATCATGGTCTTCAACTGTATAAGTAGTCCTCTACTTGAAGGAAGTTGACTCATAAACTCATGACTGGTTGCATCCTCAATTGTTGTGCGATAAAGCTCGCTTGTGTCAAATATACTGTGACTTTGACTTTCAGACCAGGCCTGCTTGGCATGTTCTTTGAGACCTTTGGGCTCAAAGAACATGGTCTGCATGCTCGTTGAGTTTCACTAAGATCGACTTGATATTGCTTCCAAGCGTCGTGAAGCGTTGGCTTTGTGTTTGTTGTTTGCCTATGCCTCTATTCCTGAGCTGCAGGACACTTGTTAAAAGTGTTCTTAATTAATCGGATTTTCATCCGAGCAAGTTGGAGGCTTCTTATATCGATGAGAACATAGTTACACGAACTTTTGACGGTAATGCGGTAGCCAAGTGTTTGGTAGCAAACCTTCTACAACAAAAGGTCTCATACTTTTATTGCGAATCGGTTTTTCGATCATTCCTCCATGGAACAGTAGTGGGATCGGAGGCTGCGCGCTCGTCATGGTAGCAGTCGCCGAGCTGCCTGTAGGTCGTCTACCATAACGAACAAAATTGGTTTTTGTCGTTCCGCCGATAAGTCTCCCAAGATTCGCTATTCATGGCTCGAGCTGGAAAAGCAATGCCCCTTGGATTGTGAGCTAGGCCTTGATGAATGGCAAACGCTTTCTGTGTGTGCATCCTTGCGATATGCGATGGAAGGACTGGAGTGAGATGTTGCGTCTTCACGTACTAGCGTTATCTTACTATCTTAGCCACCTCGACCACCTTTAAATCTATTTTCTCACACTTCTAATCTCAAAATCCAGTAGTTAGTGGAGATTGATGGGAGACTCTCTCTGCGAAACTAGGTGTGAATATAAGCACCCCTTTCCATCTCCACACGATCCTTTGCTTCTCGTTCGATCTCTGGAGCCATCCCATTAATCTTCTAATCTGCAATATTTGGGGGATTCACGAAACAAGCTCATGAAGTAAAAGACTTCATAATGGGTGCATTGCTGACACCAGCTCTTCCGGCTCGAAGCTGGAAGAGGTGGAACGCTGTGCTTGACGAGCCCTCTCCCCTGTCTGCGTGATGAAAAAGTGCTGAATCTCCATTCCTTGCGCTTTGGCGAACCGATAAATGCAACTGATACGGGACATTTGCAATTTTAGTTCGGCTTCTTCATAGTCTTCCGTGAAACACTTGAATCGCAGAAAAAGCAAAAGGAGACGGCCAACAATACACTTGTGGCGCTGAAGGTAGCTCTAGAGATAGCCCAAGAAGCCATTGATCGTGTAGAGATACGAAGGGTGCTGATATTCACAAGTTGTTTCGCAGTGTCTCCGTGAGAGTGACATCTTGAGAGATAGAGTCTTGAGAGATAATGTCTTCTGAGCTTCTGCTCACAAGACATTCATTCCAATGGAATCCTGCGTTCAACCATAGTGTAAAGTTGAGCAATCTCTTGCGAACAGAGTAAGGCGGTACACTTTATCTCTCAAGCCTGCGTAATGCTGAGAGGTAATGACAGTGAGATGTGCGTAGGAAGTAAAAGGGTCAAACTGTTGAATCTACTGGAATTTGTAGAGCATCTGGCAGCACCGAACGGATGTATTTTCATCCGTTGGCAGCTCCCTTTGTTGATATGAACGGTCTCTTCAACTCTACTGTGAGTGTGATCGAACGGTCAATTTTCAGAACTCAGAGACTCACTAAGTTTTTCGCACTTCAGAGGAAAACGTTGGAAATCTTCAGAGTCACAACAAGAACAATCCAACCCGTAACACCGTTTATTCTAAAGAGACCATCATGAAAGAGAACTCGAAATCATGGATTTCACAATATTCTTGACTAGAACCATGAGCATGGTAGTTTAGCAGGATCCATGAGTTTACTACAGCACTGAGCTGAGAAACGCTCACTCACAACAGCATTCGTCGTAAATACGACGATGAGTTGAAGATCGGCCGTCGAGTTCGATTTGAATGATAACGGAAGATAAGTTAACGGTTTGAAGGCTGCGGTATACTGTGGTCATGCAAGCAATGATTGAGTTTCGAATCTATTGTGAAATCAATTATAAACTTCAAAAATTGATATTAGTGAATGACATTTTATTTGAGGGTAAATTTGTGTACACTTTTTAGAACAAGTCTTGCAATATAAACAAGATCAAGAGTGATATGGAATGAGAAGATGATGAATATGTGAACAAACAAAGTTCGATGATGCAGTTGATCTAAGGGTTCTCTGGTGACAATAACCATAAATGAAGTTTAGATTGTATGTATTATCTACATTTATCCCATATTGAAAATATCAAATGTCTTGTTTGTTATTACCTAACACACATGATGATACAAGTGATAAGATATGTTGTGCAAATACACATTATCATACAACATAAAATTTTGATTTACCATACATACTGTGGTACCCCACTTTTGGTATTTTTGCGGAATTTAAAACATTTTGGGAAAACTGTACCGCGGCAGCAGTGTAAATAGCCATCGGTACATCAAAATAGAGTGAAACTGGATGATCTCGGAGAATCTCGTAGAATCCAGGAGTTGGGCGCAAAGTCTGGAAGAGGCGCCGCCCTAAACGATGGGCTCTGAAGGAGTATCCCTTCGGCGCAAGACGCATAATCCGCCTTCGGCGCTAGAGGAATCCCTCAGAATCTAAGCAATTCCCAAGCGCCTTGACTTGGTTAGGGTTTCGTTGGAAAGAGCTTGATGCGTTGGTTCTAACGAGCCCAAGAACGCCCGGAACGGATCAGGACTCAAGGAGTTGTGAAGGTCGAAAGATACAAAAACCTGCACCTACGCATAGGCGAGGGAAGTTCGCCTACACATAGGCGAAATAGGGTTTGACGTTGGCGGGGAGTCCGCCGAGAATGCCGCCTACGCATAGGCGGGGAGGACTTGCATCTACGCATAGGCGAACGGAGATCGCCTACGCATAGGCGCTTCGGCGTCAGCGGGAAGTCCGCCTTCGGCCCTAGAAATCCACCTTCGGAGTTGGAACTTGTACGGCGCCTTCGGCGCCAACGCATCACGGTTGGATAAGGACCCAACGGAGTGGCAGAATCCGTACGGACTGTACGGACGGAACGGACGAGTGCGCCTTCGGCCGGTCGGGGTTTCGGAGACAAGGGCGCCGACGGAGAGGCGAGAGAGATGGACAGATTGGACGGAGTCCGTTGACCGCGGTCAACACCTTCGGCACAACCGCCTTCAAAACTGCGCCTACGGCAAGGGACCTGCGCGGACGAACGTCCAGTGTGCGGACGGATTTCGCCTACGCATAGGCGAGTGCCTACGCACAGGCGGATGAAGTTCGACGCCGGCGGAAACTCCGCCGGGGATTCCGCCTACGCAGAAGGGAGTTCGACTTTTGTCCTATGCGCGGACGAACGCCTTCGGCGGAGCGGGACTAGCCAAGTTGAAGTACGGAGGAATGTAGCGCGTCGGCGAGAAATCCGCCTTCGGCGCTGCGCGATCATGGCCGCGGCGTGGTACGCTGGCGGAGTTCAAATTGCTAATTTGAGCGTGTGAGTGAAGGCGCGTCGGCGGAGCGTGAAGCCGCGCGTGAGAGAGAAGGCCGTTATACCTCGGAGCCGGCGCAGCCATCAAGTGATTCGACTTTCACGACTGAGAGCCGACCATGACCTCCTGCGAGCGGATAGAGGACGCCCCATTCTTGAATTTGCGATTTCAATTTCTTGTGCGAGCTGCTCGCGTCCACCTTCTAGCCGAGAGACGTACTAGACATCACCGCGCGGAGAGTGACTCGGTGGCAGGGAGAGAATTGAGTGCGCGACATTTGGAATTGAGAGAGATTAGAGTTTGCAGAGGAAACAGAATCGCGAGCAAGAGGCTCGAGCATAGCAGAGAGAGAGGTGCGCAAACCAATTTCAAGAACGCGATGTCGACATCGGTGAGGCTGCGGATGGTGCCATTCAAGCTCTAGCAGAATGGGTTGCGTGCTTTTGAGGACCGGCTGATTGCAAGGAAACTCGAATTCTTGCTGTGGGGATTGAATTACGTGTGTGCAGACATGGTGCGCAAATGGCTGGACGAGGAACGACAACCTACGCGCGGATTCCGTCCGCACGTAGATCGATGGACTGTCCGCGATTGGGGATAGGCATTGGGGAGGTGCGCAGGTGAGGACGGGTACCTCCTGTTCGACAGTGAGAGCGTCAAGGTAACGAAGGCGGACGAAGCCTCATTTGTGGAATTGTTCAAGCGGGAGAGGTCTTCCAAGAACGGGTACAGGACCCGCGACTACAAAGATCGTTTCCGCAGGACCGTAGCGATGACGCTGCTGCAACTGTTGCAGCCGCACCGCACTACGTACATCACGTTGTGCAGGTGTCCTTGGTGGAGCTCACATTGGCTGGGCTCCAGTTCACTAGTCGCGTATCCTGCATAGGGTGATGCGACAGCATGCGTTTGAGGAGCGGGGAGGAACGCTCAATCACCTCTCCCCCTTCTTGATAAAACTTTATCAACCGATGAATTGTTTAACCGCGGCCGAGCGTGCTCGATTTCCGCCATTGTCAGTCGACCATCCCGGGAGGTATGTGCGGGATAACGAGGTAGACACCGATGTGGAGGACTCACCGACTTCCACTCCACTCGGTCAACAGGATGCGGGGAGAGACACACCCACAGCGCGAGTGCCGCGGAAGCGAAGATGGAGAGAGGAACCGGAGAAAGAGCAACATCAAGAATCAGCTGCTCTCACCCGGAAGCGGCCACTGCACGAGATCTACAGCCGGCCGAAGCAGAAGGCGCGCAGGCTTTTGTAACCGGCCAGAAGCGCGGAAACGACGACGATCGCCACAGAGAAGGGAAGTCCATCCCCAAAGAAGGATGGGACTACGCGGACGGCCGAGGGGTCCGTAGACCATCCTACGGCTTCGGCGGAAGAGAGACGACCTTCGGGTCAGGAGTTACCACGTGCGGCGCGGATGAGTGTGCCGCCTACGCATAGGCGACTCCCTGTGGATAGACGACCCCTTGCGGACGTGGATTTGTGCCTACGCATAGGCAGAGAAAGTTCGCCTACGCATAGG